TACCATTTTGATGTAGATGAGATAGTCCTTAACAATAGGTGAGGGGAGGAGGTGGAAATCAGCATTACTAAGCAACCTGAACTCTTTAAGTCTGCCGGTATTTGGAATTTCTCACATTACACTTGCAAATCTTGTATTCCTTGTAAGTGCAGACAGATGTTTCTTTTTCCATGTCTTCTTGCCTAAATGTACTTGTAAGTTTAGGATCTTTTAACAACATCCACAAAATTTTGAGTCCTCCAGCCACAGCATGGGGTGCTGGAGCTCAGATGCCCCATCGTAGCCCTGTGCCTGTCCAGCCAGTGTAAGGCAGTATCTAGGGCACAACACGGAACAGGTTCTCTATGGCTGTACAAAGGGAACATTTCCTTCTCTGCAGGAAATGTTTGTGGACTGCTCTTCATTCAGTGTGGCCCACTTATGCCATGGTTCAGCAACGCCATCATCCTTCTGGCTTGCATGGAGCAGGGAGGTGGTGGGGAAAGCACAGTTCCACAAGCCGTCTCCAGACAGCTTATAGAAATTATTTGTGGCTTCTTGTTTGTACATGGAAAATGTAGCAACATTAGGATTGCTTTGTCTTTTGCATTGACTTTTCCTATGTCAACTAGAGGATGTGTGTATTCTTACTTGCCACTGACGAACATATGTTGAGATTAGATTTTTGAACATATCCTTACAATCTAAAATTGTATGAAATAACTGAAACTCAGCTATATCTTAAAGTGCTTAAAATAATCAATGCTGACTTACTACTTATGTAATTAAGAAGTGTAATTAAGGTAATCAAAGGATAGCACAGTGATTGATTGCTAAATGAAGTTTCAAATGCTACTGTACAGCAATATTTCTATCACATTTATTCTATAATTTTTATAAATGCTAGCAGATATTAGGTATATTTTCAATTATGTTTTGCAAAGCTGTGCAAATCCAGTTTTACTGAGAGCAAATAATTATCTACATTCCAGACTTTGACTCTCAGGATCTCTTGACATTAAAGAATTACACCAAACTACTCCAAAGAGATTAACAGCTTTTCATCAGTTTTCTGTAATGTATGTCCCTGATAGGGTGGTAAATTCTGAATGCAAGCCACTGTTAATTTTTCAGCTAATTCTTTAAAATACTGAGCTATAAACTGGTTTAGTTTAAGAACCGGGTTTCACAACAAACTCAGTATTCTTTTCTGTACAGACAACAAATTTCAGAAAAGAAACCCCTAAAAATCCATCCAGCTGCCAATACTTGTATATGTAATATTGTTACACAATCATATTTACAATAAGAGTTTTTGGAAATGATTCGCTATCATACACTATTTGGAAGGATAGAGTAAAAGAACTGAATTCAAAGAGAGTTTTGGATGACTGGAAATGTGAAATTTGGCTTGGTACATGGGCTGAAATAGCACAAACAAAATGCTGCTGGCTGGGGACAATAGGAACTAGAACAGCTTCAAATATTTTAAAACTACACAAACAATGCAGAACAGAACTTTTAAAAATAATTGTGGTATAGCCAAGGATGTTAATGTGTTCATTTGTGCCAGGCATGTCTTAAATGTATTGTTAGCTTTGACCAAGCAATGATCAAATTTTATAGAATTTCAACACAATAAAAAGTATCACAGAACACTGTTGGAGCTAACAGCCATATTCAACATAAACAGGTGGTAACAAAACAGGTTTTTTATTGCAGTTTTTATAGATAGTGTATTCCTGTTAGCTGTTTTCTCTGGTTCTGATATTATATGGTTGAAGGCCATCCTTATATCTTTTGAAAGTGACAGCGATAATAAACTGCTGGGCACCACAGATTTCTGCACAAGAAAATAAACTAGCTTCCTGTACCTACCTGCTGGATTTTCTCCTGGCAGAAAATCACCCTTTACTTTACAAATATTGTTTAAAATAGAATGTGTAATTGCTGCAGTGAAGTTTTCCATGTTAATGTCATTGTCAATTAGCACAACTACTTTATATTCAGCTCTTGTTGAATGTTGTGCTTTCCAGGTTTCAGACAAACCTGTGTTAAAGACGAAAGCAAAGAACTTTGTTATGCTAACTCATGTACTATGTGTAAACAAACCTTTCTTACTCAATACAATATTATATTTATGTGCTATATTTTATTACATAAAATATATTACAGAGAATTTGAATTCTAGGGGAGGGGAGGGGAGGTGAGGGGAGGGGAGGGGAGGGGAGGGCAGGGGAGGCTCTACCATAAAAGAGATTGGGCCAGAGGTGATATTCTGATCACCTATCCCTGAGCAAGCATTGTGAAGCTAGCTTTAAGCTTGTGGATAACAGTCTATGGGGATCCCATTGATACCCAACATGGTTTATTCACTCTATAGGAAACCTGGATATTTATCTCAACTAAAGATTTTATGCTACAATACTTTGTCTAGGAGTTAAATGTGTAACACCTTGTAGTGATAGTGAAGCAATTCACCTTGGTGTGAAAGCATGGATATTGATAGTGGCATTTCTGTGTGAATAGACTTTCACCCTTATTTTTGTTTGAAAATTCCATCCCATACTAATATAATCTGCATCAGAGCAAAACTAGTCTTTCAGTAGAATAAAGTGTATCCAAGGGGTTCATTGCCCTGATAGTTATCTTACCGGGTAAGTAGGAAGATCTACTTTTTAAAATACAAATTAATTAAATATTCACAGATGAGAACTTCCTTTTATGTTACATTCCTACAATAAAAGGAGTATAAGCCTTTGCTTGAAAGAATGGAGATTAGCTCTACAGTCAGTAGTTACAGCTAAAGCTATATCTGAAACAACAGTTTTAGTTACATTTATTCATAACATACTACTGGTGGGTCATGGGAACAGGTCCAGTAGACTGGTAAAAGAAAATGTTAACTAAGCCATCTGTCAACTTGATAAAGCTTTGAATGCAGGATACTTGCCAGTAATCCTTTCTATGACTGACATTTTCCTAATTCCATGCAAAATTATGCATTAACTGTTCTGCTATAATCTCAATGGGTTGCTATTATTCATTTATTTATTTATATGCATTCTAAGACATCAACTTCACTCAAAACAATTTGCTGTTACTTGATCAAATTTCCCAATGCTCCTGGATTTTTATGGCTTTGAGTTACTAGTTTCAAAATTTGTGGCACACATTCAACCCAAGGATAGCATATTTAATTAACATTTCACAAACCTATACCAAAAGTTCTATACCTGGAAAAAAATGAATGTATACAGTGTCAATCCTCAGTCTTTATGTTAAAATCAGATGAGGGATTGCATTTAAAAATGGACTTCTGAAGAAGTAGACATTAAAAGTTGATCTGAAATTTGGCAGGATGATAGTCTTTGTATTTAAGATGTTTTTTCCATTTCAGTAACTAAATGCCTAAGTTGGAAAAGTTGTAAATTGCTTATGAACCTCTGTGTTTTTTTATTTTTTTTATTTTTTTTTTTTATTTTTTTTTTTTTATGTTGGTGGTGCTGGTTTTGGTTTTTTATCTGTTTGTTTTTCCCTTTACTATTTCTGCTGGTAGTGTAGCTAATGTTGGTAGTAGTCCTCTGAACACATGCATATTAAAGAATTTATTACTAATTTTAAAGCAAAAATCATCACATAAAAAGCTGGTTAAGCCTTGATGTTTCAGCTTGCATATAGTATACTCTCACAAGTCAAACGTAACCAGTATGGTGCTACTGGAAGGGTAGGTGATTAAACCAAAAGTTTATTCTTTTCTTTGCCTTTGTAAAAAACTTTATTTTGATGGTAACAACCATAGCTATACCACTTTTATACACATTTTACTACAAACAGGTTTCTAAATTTACCACATGGATTCATAGAAAATTTATCATTCTTCTGAGTTTATTAACAAGTTTCACAGCCTGCATTTCTTACTAGACTCTTGTCCAAACTAAAAAACTGTTACAAAATATTAACCATTGAAATATATCCTTTGGTGCCACATCTTGGAAAATTCTGCTTTTTAACATATCAGCTATGATATTTTTAAGCAATTTTCATGGTTTTCCTTTAACCTATGAAGTTCTATTCTTCTGGGCAGAGCAGATGTTAGTGTTGAAGACTTTTGATCTCATACGGTACAATTAAATTTACAGTTGTATAGGGCAGGATGAACAGAGAAAATTGTAACACATATCAGGAAGAAAATATTTTTTTTATTAAAAAACAAAGCCCAAGCCACAAGATCCAGTGTTTATAAGCTTTCTGCTAAGTATACCCTTAAAGATCTTTTTGATAATACAAACCCTCTACTTCTGTGGCGCTGTTAAGTTTATATAGTTTTTAAAGTATGGTGATGGTGTCAAATGATGTTGCTTCCATTTCAACTTGACAAATTTACAAAGAATAACACCAGTGATCACAATCCTTTCTTAAGTAAACTGTATAATCATTGGTCAATAGCTGCAAACAACTTGCACAACTTGCAAGGTATTCTTTTTTATAGAATCATAGAATCATAGAATATCCTGAGTTGGAAGGGACCCTTAAGGATCATCAAGTCCAACTCTTGACACCGCACAGGTCTACCCAAGTTCAGACCATGTGACTAAGCGCACAGTCCAATCTCTTCTTAAATTCAGTCAGGCTCGGTGCAGTGACCACTTCCCTGGGGAGCCTGTTCCAGTGTGCAACTACTCTCTCTGTGAAGAACCCCTTCCTGATGTCCAGCCTAAACTTCCCCTGCCTCAGCTTAACTCCATTCCCGCGGGTCCTGCCGCTGGTGTTAATGGAGAAAAGGTCTCCTGCCTCTCGACACCCCCTTACGAGGAAGTTGTAGACTGCGATGAGGTCTCCCCTCAGCCTCCTCTTCTCCAGGCTGAACAGGCCCAGTGCCCTCAGCCGTTCCTCATACGTCTTCCCCTCCAGGCCTTTCACCATCTTCGTAGCCCTCCTCTGGACACTCTCCAACAGTTTCATGTCCTTTTTATACTGTGGTGCCCAGAACTGCACACAGTACTCGAGGTGAGGCCGCACCAGCGCAGAGTAGAGCGGGACAATCACCTCCCTTGACCTTTTGTTGTTGTTTGTTTGTTTGCTTTCAAATTAATATATTATGGAGGAAAATAAAATTGATAAATACACACAACTTTCTTTCTAGGGTACATTAGCATGAAAGTATTCAAGCAACAGGAGCTGTGGTAGCCTAAACTGATCAATGCGTGGATATTTTTCTTCCCACTGTCCATGCTGTGTCTTACTTCTCCCTCCCTTGTGAGAGCACTTATCCTCTTGTAAGCATGTCATGAATCTTTTCAGACACCTGATACAGCTGAAACAAATGTAGCAAGAAAGTGATTATTATTATTATTATTTTAAATGCCGCTTTTGAATGAGTTTAACATGTGGTTTTATGAGATGTAGAGCTGATGTTGGGATGGAACGGCTATGGTAATCCGGAATTAGATCAGTTTAAACAGGCTTGGAGCAGTGTGCTTGGTTGTACCAAGCTCTGATTCTGCTCACTACTCATATCACCCTTTTCTCAGCATCTGGCAAGGAAGTACAGATTCTGCGACCTTTGTCTGAAGGAATATCAACTTCACAGCACATTTAGTTCATATGCACTTAACATTCATTTGCAGTGCTTACCATTTTGGCAATATTCCAGCCTTGTGTCCTCACATGACTTGGTGGTTGGTTTGTCCACATGACCTCTGCTGTGTCAGGGCTGGTTAGATATCAGCTGCTACAGGAGAGCTCTTTCTGAAGTTGAAAGCACTCTGAATTTGAGGGTATATCAATTGGACAGGTAGCACAGTTTATATAGAGCAATACACCACCGGTCTCCTTGTCTTCTGGGAAGAGGTTATCATTTATTCTTTTGAACAAACTTCATAGCAAAGGCCTTTACAAAGCTGTCACCTACGGTGTTCACTTAAGCAAGTCATGTCTGTCCTGCAGTGTGAAACCACAAGAGAAATTCCAATACAATCTTCCAAGTATCAAAAGAAAAAAGTGGCCCTCCAACATCAGTTCTTTCGTTATTATGTGGGGCTGGACTAGGCAGTATTTGTCACAGATGCTTCTGCCTGCTTGTGGTTTGGAGAAGAGTAATAAGATACTGCAGAACAGAAGTAATTCCAGGATCAGCATGGAGTCTGATAATGGTCAGCTGAAAACCTGAGCCTCCATATTATGGAAAGAGAAGGCTATTGATGGGAATCCTCGGTCTGCCAAATTTCTGGATGGAACTCCTTCTTTTTGGTATGGGAATCTTTCTTTTCAGTGGTCAGATTTGTTTTTGTTGTAAATACTTCGTTTAATTTTCTATGATAGACAGGAGGTCTTTTTCACTGGCATCTGAAATAATGTTTATGTCAAGGGAAGAATCAGTGTTGTCTGTGCATTTAAAGATTTTCTGTACCTAAACAGGTCACCATTCAGAAAGCATTTATTTCTTGTTCTACACTTTTCATGCTTACGGGGAGCTGGTGTATGGTTGTCCTGTCTTCAGAATAGTGACCTCTTCTTCCTGTCTGCAAGTAAGTACACTACAAATTTTGAGTTATAGTAGTTACAGTATTTTCCTTAAAACTCGGTCAGTGCTCTTTTTAAGACTACATAGAAAGTTACAGAGTACATTGTAAAGTTCTGTGAAATAGTATGGTGTATAGTCTTTGTAGTATACTATAATAATATTATCTTTAAGGACAACTGGATGGCTTTGTGTTAATGTGGAGGGTGGTGGTGTCTCACACAAAACTAAACATTTCTGCAGTTCTGCTTGTTGAATGCATAGCATAGGTGAGCAAAAGTAATAGGGCATTGGTAAGATAACAGGCTCAGGTCATTGCACACTCTAAGATTTTCAAAAGTTGTTTTAACTCCATTCATCTCACTGCAAACCTTGTGCATGCCTGCAGGGGGTACAAAATGGAACTTTTTGCATAAAAGTACTCTGTTGTAGATCTGGCATCAGAAGGAGAGCCTCTCTGTTTTTCATTTCAGAATAGGTATCTCTGGCCTTTTATTCCTGAAGGACGTCAGGTGGGACCATTCTGGTGAATTATGTCAGAGCATACCTTGTTGTGTTCCTTTTAGGACTTTTAAAATAGGCATCTGTTCTGATTCTCGATCAGTGACGTCTCTTCTGACATAAGGACTGCCTGCAGAGGTATAAAAATATAGCTGCTAAATGCTACTCTCTCACACCTTACTGCCCATCCATTGTGATAAAATGACCTTTTGCATCCAGCATCTAGCAAAATTATAGGAGAAGAATGTAAAAAGAGGAATATTTGGTGAGCAAATAGCACAGAAGTGGCTGATGGGACAGGGAAGAGAAGAACAAAAAGGCAACATGGCCATGTTGCTGGCTATGTGCAATGTTCAAGGAGATTGGACAGAAAGGTACACAATTAGGCATGGGAGAAATGTAATTTGTGTGAATTGTGAATAGTCTGAGAACCTTCTGGAAAACATGTAATGCTCCCCCATTTTTTCCTTTGCAACAGTTCTTCTGCCTTATGTGGCTCCATCTGATGTGGCACTGAGCACCTCTTACTCATGTAAGATGTAAGTTTTGCTATCCACAGATCCTCCCACCTAGACATTTCAGTTAGATAATACCGCATCTGAGCTGCTATGCCAAAGATGATTTCTGCCATGGCTTTTTATTTCTCAAGTGCAACCAGGGAGAAAATTTGCAATGATATCTCCCTGATGTGTGTGTAAGGCCAAAAGACCTCCATTTTCATTATCTCACAATGGTAACATTGGATCTACTCCTGGCAAAAGTTGCTTTTAAGGATCCTGGCAGGACTGTTCAGAAACAGTAATATGCTTTGGCATTATTTCTGCCTCAGTTTTCCTGCACTTTATCCAACTCCGTGCATTTTTAGTGTGGAAATGATTCTGTAAGGTTTGTGTGATGGTGAAAGCAATCTCAAATATTAACTGTTTTCTCTTTTCGTTCATTTAGAGGAGCATCTGAATCTGTGCAAATATCACCTACATTACATGATTGGGTAATTATGATTGGCACCTTCAGGTGGCAAGCATATCACTCTTCTATACTAGACTCTCCATCAAATCTTCACTGAAACTTCACCACTGCCAATCCAAATATTTCATGCAGGCAAAGCTCATCTTCCTCAGGACTTCATACTTGCAGTACCTCCAGTAATCACCTGCTACTACTGTTAGGCTATTTAGTGTTGCCCAAATGTTGATTCTGGAGGAGGACCTGCATATCATGCTCCTCTAGAACAGCTAGCACTTTTCTTATTTTTAAAATACAATTTTGATAAAGTTTTTGGAAGATTAAAGTAGACAACCAACTTTATGCATCTTGTGAGGCTTGATTCTGTTAGAACATGACCATTATTTATCATTACATATATTTCAAGGAAACAGTGATTACATGGCCAAGTGCCAAATGTCCTTAGAAATTATGCATCTGCAGTGCTGCATCTCACGAAAGGTACCTGTATAAGACATTACTGTTAATAAAATAACATTACTGTGGATGCATTCTCAAGTAACCCATAGTGAGCTATCAGTGAATGTGGAGTAGCTTTGCCTTTCTGCTTGGCTATTGCTTCTAATTAACCAATATTTGAAGTACAAATCCTACTCTCTGAGGTCCTACTCTCTGAAGTAGGATATGAATGCCATACTGTATGGAATCACTATAAAGCATTTCTTCATATTATTTCTTTCTTATTTCATGGGATGTCATACAATCCTACACTTAGGATTGCGTACTATATTCTACTACTGACTTACCAGAAATAAAAGCAGATAATTGCCTATTGGAAAGTGTCGGGTCTAGAAGAGTTTACATTATGTACTGAAGGTTCCCAAATATTTGACAAACTACATAAGAATTATTCATTCTCCTATACCTGTTTTTAGCTTCCTTGATTAGAAAAGAGCAGTCTTTGTCACAAAAGCCTTTCTTCAACATTTCTTAATACTGCAGCTATTGTTTTTAACAGAGGTGAGATGAAAAATAGCTTTTTGAGCTGAAACTTTTAATAGGATGAATTCTAGGATATAATGATTAGTAACAGCTCTACAAAAATTAACCACAAAGTACTTTAAAGACTACAAGTGCTCAAGATCTCCCTTTTACATCAAATCTGGAAAATCAAGTGCTCTTTGGACTTACTGAGGTAGCAGAGCAATTCTCCACTAAGATAACCTCACATGTTTTAGGCCTACTTGGCCTATTACTTTTTCATTCTGATCATGCTTAATTAAATGAAAGATACAGATCTACAGAGTGCAATGACTTATCTAGGCAACTGGATGTAGACTCTCTGCAGTTTGAGGGTGGTGGGACTACCAGATTGCAGAGCTGCCTGGTGTGAGACTCTTCCAGGACACGTCAGCTCCAGCTTCAGCTGCTGGAGCTGACTCCTCATTGCAAAAGTAGAACACAATTTTATGGAGACAAAGAACAAAAAAAGAGGCAACCCTAAATGCAGGCTGGAAACAAGAAAATTGGCTGTGAAACAAATGTGCATTATACAATTTACGATCCACCCATTCTCTACATTTTCTTAGGTTTATTTTGATAAGGTATAGGGAGAATACGTGTATAGGACGAGGAATTTCAGGACATATAGTATTTCAGCAGGACATTTAGATTGCACAGGTGCTATGTAATTATTCACTTAACTGGGAAAGATGCTAAATGTTAGATGACAAGGGGTTACACCATGGGTTTCCTTATTGAATGCTAATAGCTATTTCTAAGCATTGATTTCGCTGTAGATTAGCTGCTGTCATTTCTCAGTAATAATCATTTTGCTCAGCAAAACATGCAAAAAAAAAACCAAACATGCTTACTGAATGTGTGATTTTCTAAGATGAAATGCAAGCAGCCTTTCTTTCTTAAAAATATGTTTGCAAACAGGGGCTGATATTCTTGTTGGACAGATGATTTCTATTAAAAACAGTTTGGCAAACATATGGATTAAGTCTTGCAGTGACAGAAGAAACCCTGTTCAATTAAAGTAAATGGCAAGCACATTGATTTTAGTTGTGTAGGAGCAAACACAGAACAGTGGGTAAAATGGTGACGTTTTAACCATTAGTGAGAACATCAAGATTGTAAACAGATGCTTACATTACAGTGACCTTAGACCTCAGAATAATGATTTTTTGGATTCTTTATGATGATCATCCAGGAAAAAATATTTAATGATTGAGTCAGTGCCCAAACTCAACACACTAGCATTCTATAATACTTGTATGTGTCTATCTTGAACCATTTTTTAAAAAAATATTTTAATGCATTTCATACTTTTTCTGTTTTAATGAAGGAGTATGTAAGACAAAGCCTTTTCTGCCCTCAAAAAAAGGAGCTAAATCTGTTTATGAGCAAAAAAAAAAATACCAGAGACAGGACAGATTCACTAGGTGGCAGCATAGTTAGTAATTTTATGTAAGGTCTAGTTCATACTCCATGTATGTTTTAGGTACATTTTGGCCAAGCTGAACGTGAAAACAGAGAAATAGTCTCTTAGAAATCTAATATTAAGAAAATAAAATCATTGTAAGTATGACATTCTTTCACAACACATTAATTTAAGGATATGCTCCATATCTGAGATAAATGATATGCGTTACTGCATGGTAAAAATCTACAACAGAACAGAGAAAATTAATTTCCTAAACAGATGTCCCAATATAGCTTTTAGTTAAGTCTATAGTGGATGAAATTTGAATTGCAGCTTCAGAATGGTTAATAATAATAATAATAATAATAATAATAATAATAATAATAATAAGCCATTAAAAGTTACTAAAGGTAATATGAGTTGATCATAACCAAGGGAGAAATTTAGTCAAGATTGCACCTCAGAAGAAGATCACTGCCAGTGCTCTCCAGAACCTGGTATAGGGCAAACACCATAGTGCCAAATGGAAGAACAAAGGGAGCAGAGAAGGAAGCTTACCTTCACGGCTGACCATTTTCAAAGCTGCACTGATGCTGTGAACTTGTTGCTGAAGTTTCCTGGTTGGGTATGAGACTGGAAATGGATCTTACCTAGTTGCAAGATGCTCTCTAATTTCATGTTTTTACTGTAAATGACAGTTTATTTTTTTCCTTCTCTTTGGTGGAAAAACTAGTTTAAAACCTTCTCAGCAGGGAAAATGCATATGAAAAAAACAGCAATAAATAGACTGAAATAATTCAGTCTTCTTAAATTTGAAGCTTCAGATGAACAGATTGGCCCTTCTCATCTCCATATATGCTTTACTATCAACAATTGTAGATTCATAATGGATGATTTACTGAAATGTTCTGCAAACAAGCTATTTCCTGGTACAAATCAACATAATTATCCAATAATCTCTGTTCTCCAATGTTTCTCTCAGCCAGTTATGCTTAATGCTTTTCAAGCATATTTGCAACACTGCTGCTGCTAGCCCACTTGGAACCCAGTCGTGAGCACTTAGTCAGGCCACATTTTCTTTGTCTGCCTAATTTCCCCTCATTAGAGACTGTGTGATCCATTACTTTATATTTCAAACTTTGAGACTAATCATTGCCCTGCTCAGATGAGCATTCTTTCTTATAGTTTTTTGTTATTTATTTATTTATTTATTTTCTGGTGTTACTTTGCAGTATACTTCAGGGTGCTTCCTGTTCAGGATAAATTTCCTTGCCCTAGGACAGTAAGAGGAATGGTGGATGACAGGGAGAAGCATGGTCCTGAACTAAAATCTGGTCCTGGTATTTAACCACAGGAATTGGCAACCAGTCACATACTGCTTGAGCTGTGCACTTGCTGTTTATGATTTCAGCATCATCCCCCAATGAAACTACAGTTGTGTTCTGTCAGGATTGATGCATGCTTTTATACTTTTGGCAAGCAGGAGAGCCATGGCTCAGAAATGATGTGTAATATGTTGTAAATGTTGCTGTTTATAATGAAATGGAACAGATTTTGTATCTTTATAGAGCTTGTATATATATCAAGGGCTGGGAGTAACAGAAATGCTGTATTCAAAATAACACTAGTAAATTTAATACAGATTAAACATAACACAGACTAATAACTAGAATCATAATTTCTTAAATCCAGTAGAACAAATATAAAATTTAACACCTAAATATGTGTATTTATTTTTACAAACTCTATAAGTATGATATATAAAACTCTATTCAATCGTTCAATTTCGTTCTCTTGATGGAAATTCAGCCTTTTTGCCTGAGTGTGGACTAGAAGATCAACTGCCAAAATGTCAAACCTCAATGATACACTCAACAAAGTGCATGAAAGTCTTGCAACTGCTACTGCACTGGAGTGAAGTTTCTCTAGCATCTTTGACTCACCTCTCAGTAACTGGGATTTGGACACCACCTTCCCCTCTGCATCTCACAGGTCAACATTCAGAGGTGTCAGTATTTTATCCATGGAACTGAGAATAGGACTCAGGACAGGGTTAGCAGGGCATTTATCCCACTCTCTTTTATGCCAGGCTTGAAAACAAAGCGTGTATCAAATCAGCAGAGCCAAGAGTATGCTGAAAACTAGACAGGAACTGTGCGAAAGTCTTTTGCCAAGGAAAAGGGAGGGCAAGGAAATATAACTCCTCTATCAGCTGTTGCAAAAGCAGAAAAATTGCATGCCATCCGCCTTGCAAAAGACTTGCCAAAAGGTATAGCTCTAAAACTGTATAAACAATTTGGATTAAGAAACATTAAACACATTCACACCTGCTTTCAAGCTTTGAATCTGTAGCTCTGCAAAATGTCATCTATCTGAATAAAAGCAGCTATTTTTCTTTCAGTAAACATCTGTTTGGAAATGATAAACTAATTTTTCTGCTATGAATTTTCCCATCCATTTACCCATTTATCCTCCTATTAGTTGAAATATACTGTTGATTAACATTGCAAAATATCAATAGATTACAGTATTAAGTTATTCCATTCTTTTTCTCCTTAGCATACAAACTGAAGGTTTTAAATAATTCTACATACAATTGCTAAATTTTAAAATAGAAACAATCTGAAGACAAATAACAACCTGGTAACGTATTTTAAGAACTGGGAAAATATTATTCTGCTTTACTGTTAAATACAGTATTAACAATAAATACAGTTATTTAACAATATACTGTTAAATACAGACCCTTGTTAAATATAAAAGATGCTCATTTTCAGTAGAAAGCAGTCACATTCTAAGTGAATGAAAAACAAATCCTTGTGTTAAATTAGTTATATGATTCAGCTTCTGATGAAAAACAATCCACTGGACAAGAGTATTTGAAGTAAAATGTGATTTTATGAGATATGTAGTTATAGATAAAGTATATGAGCTTGATTTGAATTAATCTTATGTTTAGAAGTCCAAAAAAATAGGAAAAAACAGAGCAATTCAATCAAATATTCATATCAGGAAAATACCATGTTTCTTCAGAAAAGAGTGAACAAGGTAGGAAATAAATGCAGCATTTAACAGTATAAACACATGTTAATATTTGATGTGTATTTCCAACAAAGGTTGTGCTCCTGGCAGCATGTTCCAGTTTAAGTAATATTTCTGCTTCCAAGGGAGTTTGTATAAATAAAGGTACGTGATTGTGTGTTAGGTTCTGTCAAGTCACATAGAAAGCCATTGGGATTGGAAGCTATACTCAAACCTTTGTAAAGTATATTCACTGGGATGTAGAGTTTTCCTGATGAAGCTGCTGCAAAATCACTAGTGGGGTGGAAAGTGCTGTATAATGTTCCATAACCATTCTTATACATGCACAATAAGCTCTGCTAACACAGTGCATAGTTTTTGAAGAAAACTGGGAAAACTGTAAGGACAGAGAAAATAGAAGAGGAATTCATAGTAAAGTTTAGAAAACAATGGAAAGCCAAATGGGTGTATCAGAAAAGTGGCTGCAGTTTTACTGTTATAAACACATTATATATTGATAAAGTTTGCTTAGGGTGCTTGATGCATCCATTCTGAGTACTTGCAATTAATTTAAATTGATAGAAAAATGTGTTTAGGCTGGCCTATAGGAAAAAAAGATCAAGATTAACTTTAATTTACGTTCCTTTTTTTTTTTTTTTTTGAGCTTTTGTAAAGGATAAATTCTGACTTGCTAATAGCTGAGTTAAGAAAAGCATTAGCTTTGTTTTGTAATGTGGACAAAATGTAGTTCTACCCTCCCCCTGTATGAGAAATCCTTCTGCAATGAGTAAAACAAAATTTACTAAATGTCATAGCTATAGAAGCGTAGAAAGATGGGCTGGAAGGGCTGGAAGGGCCCTCTGGAGGCCATCTGGTCCCCCTACTGCCAAGCAGGGACACCCAGAGCAGAGTGCCCTGGACACTGGCTTTTGGAGATCTCAAAGGAAGGAGACTTCACAGGAGTCTTCTTCTGGGCACCCTGTGTCAGTGCTCTGTCACCCGCACAGTAAAGCACTGCCTGGTGCTCAGACTGAACCTTTTGTGTTCCACTTTGTGCCCACGGCTTCTTGTCCTGGCACTGGGCACCACTGAAAAAGAACACTGCACAGAATACATGGCTTGCAGAAGCTGTGTTGACCTACCACAGTGAAGCAGGAATATCCTTGCACTGTTCCTTTTTAAGAGTGCTGATGATATAGAGGTCCTAAATCCAAATAATTTTACCTTCGTAGATACTTTCTGTAAAACAGCAAATGAAGTTTAAATTCATGCCCTATCTTGTTTCACAATGTCTTTTCTGTGCAAATGTGCCCTGAGACTGTATTCTTGGAAAGTTATTTTCATGTTATGGAGATAAGACTTCAGATCTCTCCAAAGGTCAAAAAGCCATAGCTGTTTAAAGGAGTCTAGTGTTTTAAATGTCTTCCAGGATGTTTTCTACCAAAAGGCATTCTCATCTGCGGAATTCACACACCTGTTGAAATCTGTGAAGGATATTTTAAATATTTTTCTAACATTTCTTATCAGAAACATTGGTTGCAAAAGCAGGTTCAGATAAAAAAGGCATTATTTTGCACAAGTGTTGGAAACTTCATAAGGCTGAGGGTCATTGAACGTCAAGCCTCTGTTGTGTATGGAGTTACGTTGTACAGACTGCTGAACAACTGTTTGAGGGCCCTGTGCTCTAAGTAAATCCCTTCCCTGCGCTACATAGCCATTTCTTATCTGTAATTTGCACTGAGAATGTCACAGGAGGCTCATTGCATATAAATTAGTTCCTACATTTATATAGTAATTTGTACTCGTGCACTTTCAGAACATGTCATAAAATTGGGATATTTCCTATGCCAGCAAACCTCCAACTACCCTTGTTGCCTATTATGCAAGAAATGGCTAGTCTGGACAACTGAGGATAAAGATCATTCTGCTACTCCTGATACTGTTGCTATTTGTAATATTTTTATATTTAGTGTCTGCATTTTTTTTTCTTTTATACCAAAACGCTTATTTGCAACCCAGCCTCCCTACTTAATACTGTCTGCAAAGAATTCACACTTGGGCTAACAAATTCCTATATTCTGGCAACGGAAGTACATTATTCCACATGGTTCTTAGGAATCCTGATATGGGAGTTTACTCTGAACTGGAAATAAATGGCTCTATCAAAGCCCATGCAAATACATCAGACATAGGTGCCTATCACTCGTACAAGCAGGTAAAATTTGTGCTTGCTACCTGTGACAGTACACCAATGGAGAAGGATCTTCTGTGCTGCTGCTGCTGCGTTTTACACAAACACAGAAAAAAAGGTCGTCCTTGTCATTGGTTCTTGCATCCCAAAGGTGTTGTCTGTAGTGTGACTGTTTGGAGTCCTCCCTCACCTAGCTCAGCCTTCAGCCAGGTCAACCTCAGGGCTTTTTGTCACTGTAATCCCCTCTGAACCCCCCCCTGAAGCTGGGATGAATGAGGCCATCCACATCTGGAATCCTAGCTCATTGGGGAAAGAAACAGGACACTGGCTCCACAGGAATCATATGAATATATCTGGACATTGAAGGTACACAAACTGTTTGTTAGAGCCTACGTATTTGGTCTCAGCCTCTCAGGATGAGGGTCAGCCCTGTGTATTCTTCCAGACCCATGGTCTTTCACTGACTTCTCCAGCTGTCCTCTCCAACTCTCTCTCCTGCTTTTATATTTCACTTTGTTTTGCTTTAGTATACAATCTTCTAAAAGTAACACAAACTAAAGTGGTTCTTTATTAAAAACATGTGTTTGTGCTTCCTGTTCAGGCTGAGCCAGCATGCTCAAAACCTTCCTCTGTTATGAGACCACGTGTCCACAGGGGA